CGTACAAGTGGACTTTGGTGCAACACGCATGTAATTTGACGCCGGTTCTAGGCAAAGCCCGCCGGGACCCAGGAGAGGGTCAGTGAGTGTAGAGCCTCATTGTCGGGAGGATGGGAAAATGGAGGCCCGCAGTTTTGCTGCTTTCAGCCAGTGTTTCTAGGGAACGCTCCAAAAAACAATGCGCTGAACTTAGTCGAAGAAGAACAGAAAGCAATGGTTTGCGCGGCGTAGCGAAAGCACAGCCAGTGCGGTCCAAGCCATCTGTCATAACTGAGAAGAAGATTTGCTAACTAGATCAGCTGTTATAATTATGTAAAACTTCCGTGCCAAACTGAAGTTATTTGTAGCGTTGTTTGACCTGAGACGCAGAGCAGCGGGCAGGAGTTTGCACCGAATCACCGACAGTTTCGAAGAGAAGAACCCCTCTTTAAGGGGTGAGGTAAAAGTAGGAGATAAACCGCATACGGCTTGCTGGAAAAAACATAGCCATCCGCCATTTCAAACTCCGATGCTATCCCGTCATCGAGTGAGCGTGTCTGAGTACAGAATCTAGACAAGCTCTGGAGCAACGGCAGGACTGAACGAAAGTACGAGCCCGGATAGCGAGGTCATGATCTGGCGATCCATGGCTGATTCATGGCTTATGATTGTAGTGGTCAGGATTCCAAGGTCCGGATTGGAACAGTTACCCACAGTAGGGTCTACGGCTGGGGAAATTGTGTTCGTTCACATGAGAGCAGTTTTATTTCTTTGTTTATGCAAACGCGTAACCTGTGGGACTGAAGCCCTTCTCTCCATGTCATACAGGGGAAGACGCGTAGCCTGCGATCTGGGGCAACTACGGGACTGAAGCCCTTCTCTCCATGTCATACAAGGGAAGACGCGTAACCTGCGATCTGGGGCAACTGTGGGACTGAAGCCCTTCGCTTCATGTCATACAAGGGAAGCACACGCCAGGGTTGGTCTAACCTGCGATCTGGGACAACTGTGGGACTGAAGCCCTTCTCTTCACGGCATACAAAGGAAGGACACGCCAGGGTCGGTCTGTAATAGGACGCGCCTCGGGTTACAGCCCCCAATCACCCCAAGGCCCCTGGCCCTCGCTCAGCCGACGAGTCGGAGAGAACGTCGGCCAAACTACGACAACGACAAAGACGGCCAGCCGCGCGGCCTACGCATAGATCGATGCGAAATGCATGTCCTCGGCTATTGTGCAACGTTACAGCCCACACGAAATGCATGCCCCCACGCGTCCACCCCACGTGTGTCCTGACTACTCGGAAGGCAATGCTTTCGCCACTGTTTTCCAGGGGCACGTGCGTAGGATGTACGCGTCAGTGATTCGGGAGTGGGCACGTATGGACCAGCAGATATTGCGAGCCTGTCCGATGCAATACAACCAGTGTCTTCTCAGCCTTTGGAGCAATATCTCCGAGATCCCGACTACACAACCACCCCCGGCCAGGGCGAGTTGGGTTCCCCTCCCCCCCCCCCCCCCCCCCCCCCCCACTGGGATCTCAAACTTCCAAACGCTGGATGAGAAAGAAAGGATAAGGCTGTGAAGCTCTTGTCGAATCATGAAGAATGCGCACCAATTTTTCATCTTAGGTCAAAGGTGAGGCAACTGGAGGTCACGAAAGGTAAAAACTATTGTCGCGATAAACGCTGATAAAGTCTGTGTTAATACGCCAAAACAGACATTAAGTGCGGGTAAATAAGCGTTAAGACTGTGGAGGGTCCACTCCGACCATTTCTGCTGCCCCGCAAGAGCCAGGTCAGATATCTCACCGTTCAAAACGGTCTACCAGTAGCCTACTAGAAAGACGCTTTTTCACGATGCAGTTCTGGCTATGTTTATTCTTTTAGATGCAGCTGTGGTACAAAACTTTTCCAGATGCAAAGACAATTTTAGGCTGGCTTAGAGGTTCTTTAAGGTCAACTAAGGCCGTCAGCTAATTACTTCATAGACGTGTCCTCATCAAATTTGAAGAGGTGCCGTGCCGATATGCACCTGTCTGTGGTCGCTTTCCCGTGGCATGTCCATAAAACAGACGACATTTACATGAAGAAAAATGCAGAAATACGGAAACAATAGACAGCTCAACTGGGTTTTCTGATAACTCCGAGTTGATGTCCATTTTTCTAAGATTTTCTGTTTAAGATAGCCCGCTTTTGGGCGTGGAATACTAAGGTTTATTCCCATGAAAGTGTGGGGCATGCCTCAGCCTAACAGTTATAGTGGGCAGCACCCCTCCTGCCTTCTGTTCTCGGGCATGTGGACAGAGACCTCTGAATGGCCTTTGGTTAAGACCTCTGCCCATCACTACTAAGGCCTTGTTGTGCCGCAGCAGCGACAAAATGTAACCAGGGATATTTTTGCGGGGCAGGCTGTGTTTCGTTCGCTTCGTGCTGATTCGGGCTGTGTTGCGCTTGGGATAAGGTGGGGCAGGAGATAATTCAGAACTGTAGTCCTTAGTAAAACGCATGCTTCCTTCAACCTCGAAACCGTGGCCAAATGAAACCTAAAGGCTCCATTTGGGAGTCGCCCTCGATTGTGGGGTGTAGACGCTCATTTCGAACTTGGCTTGGTTTGCGTCATCTTTCTGTTGATATCGATGTCCATAAATAAAAAATCCTGCTGGTGCTGGGTTGGCTGGAATTTATTTGTAAACCCTAGGGCAAGGTTGGGAGTCAACCTGTTTGAAGCTTCTTGTACATCAGTTCAGTGTGGGCCTGTCTAAAACATCCTTTCACTGACCTAGAGGCTTAGGACACATTGGTGCACTAAACCTCATGTTTTCATGTGCCAAACTTAGGCCAGGCCATTTTGTACTGAATTGTCTTGTTGCTTTTGCATGAGAAGTGTTTCTGGTAAATGTTTGTTAGAAATGATTATGCAATATCATAATCCTTGGAAACATGCTTGGTGTGCTAAAATTAATGGGTACTGTCAAAGTCTGAGTGTTCAGATCTGTGGCATACATGTGCTGAAAATGTTTCTTAGATGCTGGGGCTATAATGCTGCTGTTACCCTGGGCATATTCTGTAGCTTTTTTTAGTTGGGAGTCTTCCCATAATCATAGTCAGAGTGAGGGCAAATGTCAATTGAATGAGGGCAATTTTGACCTGGATTTTGCAAGCCATCAAGCATGTAGTCTTAACCCCTCAGTTCCTATGAAACCATAGCTGCTGTATCCCTCCCCCCTTCCTCTTCACTACATTTCAGGCCCTGTGCAGAATTGCCCTAGTGACTCAGTCAGTCAAGCACCTGCCTGTCAACCTACTCAAGTTGGGGTACAAGGGTTCAAGCTGCTTCTGTGCTTTCTGTTTGCTCCTGGCTGGGTTGGCTTGCAGCCAGTGGCGGTAGTCGCTCTTTGAGGTCCGATGAGGCCATAAAATGGGGTGGACTATGTTAAGCTCACATCACATTAAACCTTTGCCACAAATTTCTGCTTTTGGACTAGAATTTCTTTATCAGATGGAGGGGGCAGTGTCTGTACAACAAGCTTTGCTTATTTTGAACTCTGATCTCAGAAATCTATCCAGGAAAAAGTTTGGACAAAAGTAGTGAATAAATGCTGCTTTTTGTTTGATGGAAACTGTGCCTTGATATTTCTTGCCACTTTGTGCACTATTGCATTTGGATGATACAAATGTAATGGGGATGTCTCAGAAAATGTCACTTTCCAAAATGCGACAGTTTCTGACCAGGATGATTCAGCAAACGGTTGTTTATGGCCGGAAGGCCCAACAATGCTTTGTGTGCTCCAGCTGTCCAGAATTTTGCCAGACAACATCAGCCCCATTTGCAGATGAGCCAAAATGTTGAACAAAGTTGCTACAATCAGTAAATAACAATCATCTGGGGAGACTTATCAAGATCCAGTTTTTACATTGATGTGATGTACTCCAGATTTTACCAATTTATTTGGCCTTGGCACAAACACAACATTTTAGATCACCCCACTTGTTGACCGCAACACTATGACCCTTCTTTTGTTGGACACTTCATGACTAAATACAATATTTTGTGAATTATAGGCATTTTGCTAGCAGGCTGTTGTTTATCTGAGATGCTGAAAAAGTTGTCATAACAAGGTATTAAAGGGGTCTATCTGTGCGACATGTTTAGTCATGATGTCCAAGGATGCTTTGTTTTGAAGATGTGGGTCCCATCACTCTGGCATTGAAACTCATGTGGATCAGTAAGAAATTTTGAATCATTTCTATGTCTTTCTGTACTATTTATTAACATGCAGCATGACATGCACAAGCTGTAATGGCTACATAAGCACTCAAGCCTTTTATAGATCACTGAAGTCATTTGGTATCCAACTCTCTTCTTTGCCATTTAATTGAACATGTATGAACAAAGTCTGCTGCATAGATTTTACTGGAACTGGTTTTTGAAGTAAAAACGAGCTAATTATCTTGAATGCCCTAAAGTTACACATGCATTAGCCCAGCCCAGCTAAGAGTACTGAATTCATATTTTGAAGGAGTAAACAGTTAAATTGAAAAATGCATCTGGTTCATAAAAGAACTGTTAATGATAATGATGCCTTGAGGATAGAAAACTTTTAATCTCATAAGTGTCACATTTTTGCCCTGTTGTGTTGCATAAGATGGTGATCATTATTAACAAGCCTTTTGTGGTTAGATTGTTGTTGTGGTTAGATTGTTGGTGTGTTTAGAAGGTGCTTTAATTTCATTGTCAGCTCAGACTAAATGGGGCAAATCCTGTGCCCAGTGGTTGGCACCTTTGTATCCCACACAGGTGAGCAGGGAACAGATCCCTGTTGCAGCATGATTGTAAAGTCATAATGCTGACTTTAGACACAGCACCACAGCAAAGCGTGGTGCTGTGTGACAAACCACCATGCTCAGCTGGATATTGCAGTGGCCTAGCCATGAGACATTCAAGCTTGTTGCATTGACTTCTGCATCACATGTTGGTACATGTGATAGCAAATAGGTTTTGTTATCACTGACAACACATTTTTTGTTCCCATCCATATAATACAGTGGTGCAATCAAATGGACATAACCCAGACATACCAAATGCAAAAATGAAAATGCATATATTCAGATATGCTTGACATTCCAATGTTCATGCAGCTTTTTGCACCATGGATGGAGTGCCAGTGAAGATTAGTGAACAGTGCCGGCCTCCAGGAAAAGTTCATCTACCAGCATCACTTCGAACACTTCCGCCGCCGGAGGTTAACGTTCAAACGGTCAGTGTGCGTGACTGTCTGTGAATTAATGTTGGTTAGCGAGACTGTTTGTTATCTTCTGAGTCTGAATTTGTGCTACCATGGTGACACTGCAGATACACAATTGTAACTGTGCCATTGTTCGCACTGAAAGCTCAGATGCAACAGCACTTGAGCATACCACTGTCTGATATATGTTGGGATGGTGGTATGTTTATCTCAATAATCTGTTATTTGTATTTAATGGAAACTGCCCACGGTGTTGCCTCATGATGCTGATAAAACACAATGCCACTACAGTACACTTTCGAGTTGGAGGAAAAGGCTACACATTGGGTGCAGGAACGTCGAAGAAATCTGTTGTCCGAAAGAGCGGAAAGACAGAAACGTTTAGAACTCAAAGATGCAGCCAAACAAAAACAGAAAGAAGAACTGGAGGAATTAGCGAAACAGGAACAGCAGGAAAAGCTTAAGAGAGAGGAAGAGGAACGGCAGCGGCAGGAGGCAGAAGCGGCGAGAATGTTAGCCGAAGAAGAGGAGAGGTTACGTCGCGAGGAGGAGGAAAAACTGGAGGAATTCCGACGACGGCGTGAACAGTTGTCTCGCCAAGAGAGTGAGACGGCGGCAGAGCGCGTGCCCGCCGCCGAGGTGCAGGCCGGCCCGGAGTCTCAGCCGCCGGAGCAGGGGGCGACAGCATCGTGCGGACCGGAGCCGGAGGAGCCGGCGGCTGCCTCGCCTCCCACCGGCACGCCGAGTCTGCCGACGGCGACGGCGACGGTGCCCTGCCCGCCGGCAGCTGACGCGTCGTCATCGGCGCCTGAGGCCGCGCAGGAACCCGCCGCCGCTCCGGCGGCAGCCGCGCCAGCAGCCGTCGCCCCAGTCGCCCCAGCCGCCGTCCCAGCCGCCGCCTCAGCCGCCGCCCCGGCCGCCGCTCCGGCCGCTGCCCCAGCTGCTGCCCCAGCTGCCGCCCCAGCCACCGCCTCAGTGGCGCCCGGCTGGCCGGCGCCGAGTGTCGTCTCGTCAAACCCGTTCAACCCATTCGCGCGGCCGGCAGGCTCGGCCGTGCTGACGCCGCAGTCGTGGCAGCAGCCGGGCGCCGGCGCCGCACCCTTCCGCGGCAGTGGCTTCAACTACCGCGACTTCGAGAGCCAGGCCAGCGACCCATTCGACAGCGCCGAGCTCAAGACCATCAACGACATGGAGGAGCTGGCCTGCGTATTCCGGCCTTCTGCCAACGCCGCCGCACCCGGCCCATCTCACTCGTCGGCCGCATACTATCAGCAGGCGGAGCAGCGGCAGAACCAGCAGCAGGGACCACAGCCTCCGCAGCAGCAGCAACAGCAGCAACGGCAGCGGCAGCAGCAGGGAGCACAGCAACAGCAGCAGCAGCAGCAGCCACAACAACAACAACCACAACAACAACAGCAGCAACTGCAGCAACAACGACAACAACAACCGCAGCAGCAACAACAACAGCAACAACAGCAACAGTCGCAGTCGCAGCCCCAGCAGCGACCACAGCAGCAGGTGCAGTCGCAGCAGTACTTCCCGCGCGCCGGCGGCTCCACCAGCGGGCCGGTGTCCGCACCGAGCCCGGCCGTCACCGGCTACAGCTACCAGCGCGGCTTCACGCCGTACCCGGGCCAGGCGTACGGCCGGCCAGCTTATGGCCCGGTCGCCAAGTTGCCGACCGACCAGACGGGCTACCGGTACGCCGGGTACGCGTACAGCGCGTCCGGCGGCGGCGGCGGCTCGTACGCGGCTCGTAATCCGTACCCTGCGGCGACCACCGCCGAGCCGACGGCCGCCTACCCGGCCGTGTCCTCGGCATCGAGCGGCGTCGTGGCGCCGGCGCAGGCCGACGCCCAGCAGCTGCATGAGTTCTACACGCGCTACTACGCGTCGCCCGGCCTGCGCAGCAGTCGCAGTGTGCCCGACCTCTGCGAGGAGGTGCAGCGCGAGGCGGCCGCGGTCGGCGACGTGAAGCGCACCAAGTCGCACACCCCGCCGCCGCAGTGTGCGGCTGACAGGCCCGCCGCGGCGCAGGTGCGTGGCGGGGATAACGCTCGCCTCCTCTGGGAGGTCCTCGTGCTGGGTCTGTGGTTGAATTTCGGTCATTATGATCAGGGTGGAAAGGCCGGTGCACGAGTGCAAGTCGAGTACTAGATTAGCTTTGGATGATACATAATTATTAAACTGTTAATGCCATTTTATTTCACATTTTCCAGCAATGTCATGAATGGTGGTATATGTTCTTCACGAGTAAAAGGCTTAAAGGCCAAAAGGTACGCGTGTCTTGTTGCGCTATGCCGCCAAAAACGTATCAGTTTACGGAATGTTTGTTATTAGCTGGTTCTTCGCAAACATTTGTGTAGGTGGCGGATGTGATTTTTATGCTTCACAATAAGTTCGAAATGATGTGGTTGTGGTATGGTGATCACGTGTTCTTTGTGTGCTACATGTAGTGCATATACATCAATATGTGTCTTTTCCCTTGCTACGTCAACATCGTTGTGCGGCCTGGTGCTCCGCCACGATGTCTGGAATGTCAATGAACTGCCAATAGTCGGACGTGCTGACGACTTGTGACTTGACACGGCAGGGCCTGGTGTCGCGGCCCGAGCCGGCGGCCGAGGCGGCCGACCCGCTGCACGGGCTGGAGCCGGCCGCTAAGGCCCGGCTGCAGGAGCTCGGTCAGATGGGCTTCCCTCTGGACCGGCTCAGGCGGCTGCACAGCCAGTTCAACGGTGACGAGAAGCAGGTAACGGGGCCCGACCGGTGCCCGACGGTCCTGGCGACGCCAGCATGGTAACGGGGCCCGAGCGGCGCCCGACGAACCTGGCGAGGTCATCCTGGCGGGAATAACGGGCTGACCTGGGCTCTCCATCTGGGGGACGAACGGGGATTCTGTGATGCTAAAGCTGCCGGTGCGGTCCTGACAGCAGGTTTGGGACAGAAGATGTCATACGTTTTGATTGTGACTGTGCGTACCTGGCATGAGCCTGTGCTCTCAGTTGCTGCCTCTGCTCCCGGACGCCTCCTCTGCTCCCAGTCGCTTCCTCTGCTTCCAGTCGCCACCTCTGCTCCCAAACGCTACTTCTGCTCCCAGTCGCTTCCTCTGCTCCCAGTCGCTTCCTCTGCTCCCAGTCGCCACCTCTGCTCCCAGTCGTTCCCCCTGCTCCCAGTCGCTTCCTCTGCTCCCAGTCGCCACCTCTGCTCCCAGTCGCTCCCTCTGCTCCCAGTCGCTACCTCGGCTCCCAGTCGCCAACTCTGCTTCCAGTCGCCACCTGTGCTCCCGGCGCTGCTTCTGTGTCCGTGGCACTGGCTTCGACAGTGATCTTGTGACACTGACGGGTCACGACGCCGTCTAACTTCACACCGCGCGTGCCCCACCGCTAACCGCGCGCTCTCCGCCTGCGGCAGGTGATCGAGTTCGCGCTGTCGGCTCAGCGTCTGGAGGAGGCCGGCCACTCGGCGCTGGAGGCCGAGCGCGGCCTGCTCGAGTGCGACGGCGACCTGGGCCGAGCCGCCGACTTCCTGAACTCGCTGGCCCAGCTCACCGGGCTCGGCTTCCCGGAGCCGCGCGCCCGTGACGCGCTCCGTCGCGCGGACATGCACCGCGACCGGGCACTCGACCTACTCATCCAGGGCTAGCGGCACTGTGACCGGGCGCTCGACCTGCTCATCCAGGGCAAGCAGGCACTGTGACCGGGCGCTCGACCAGCTCGTCCAGGGCTAGCAGGCACTGTGACCGGGCGCTCGACCTGCTCATCCAGGGCTAGCAGGCACCGCGACCGGGCGCTCGACCTGCTCAGGCAGGGATAACAGGCACGGCGATCGTGTGCTCCACCTGCTCAAGCGGGGTGTGCGTCGGACCATTCCCAGGCGGTAGTGCACCGTCGGCATTAAGTGCGGCTGTTGCCCGAAGTATTTGGTGGGAGCGAGCCTGCCACGTTCCGTGCGTCTGATTCCATCCCCGGTGATACTCCCGGAGCGGGGTCCGTCTGCCGCTCCGGGGACGGGCATAATCGACCCTCCGCTGTTCCTTATGCTGCTCGGGTGGTATCTGTGACTAGTGTTTCCAAGATAGTAACTGGACATGGAATCTACAAGTCTCTGGCAGGGAAAGGCTGGATTCCTAGGGTCCGGCGCGTCCCGTATCCCTGACAATACGCGAAGGTGGCCCGCTGGTTGCACGGTCGGCTGTGCAATGTATAGTTGTATAATAGGCGCGGACGCGTCGGCGGGCGCCCGCTGTCCAGTTCATCTGCGGTGATATTCGGTGGCTGGCCGCCGCGCCAGGCTGTCGGGACCACGTTCAGGCGGCGTGTTGCCGTGTGTGCGCCGTCGCAGGCCGGCCACCGCGGCGCGGCTCGGCGCGGCGCCCACGTGTTCAGGGACAATGGCGGAGTCGCGATCTGAGCGCGGTGTGGCAGTCCACTTGTATTCATGTCTCTGCACCACGCGCTGTATGGTATATCAATATATTGGAAATGTAATCGTTCCGTGTGCTGGACATGGCTGACCGCCGAACTGTAAATCCAGCGGCGGTTACGTGGCGCGCCGCTCGGAACGGCACCTCTCGGCAAGAACAGACACTGGAGGCGGACGGAGACGAGACGGCCGTCGCAGGCCATGTCCCGGCTTGTTCCTCCAAATGTCCTGCAAGTGGCTGATGCAAGCCGTTGGCCGGCGTCGTGTAGGAGAGAGCAGATAGTCTCTGTTCACGAAGGGGGAGATCGCGTGTGGTACGCCAACGCCATCTCGCGGTGGATGGGCTATCAATAGGCGGCAGCACATATCTTATTTGGGCTCCAGGACGCTCTTCTGTGAAGGGAGTATCATGACAAGCCTGATAAATTGCATGCCGGCTTGCAATGATTCTGTTAATTTAAATTTATAAAGAAACTGAGACACGTATGTACAGCTATTCGCGAACAATTAAAGGACCTTATGCCGTTAATGGATTCTAGATTCGTTGCGTTAGCGTGAAAGTGAAGTTTGTAGGGAGTGTTCCACTTTTAAATGGGGTTTTCAACTGAAATAACCATCTTGACAGCCTTTCGGCGCTGTTCAAAATCCTGCCCTTCTTAAGACCTAAGCTTCTCTAGTTTCTGAGCTGCACGCCCGCGAAAATGGGGACGGGTATACCAGCAAACGTATTTCAAAGTCACCTTGGCATTCATGACATTACAACAACAACATTTAAATCCTGTCATTACATTAGCTTTGCGGCGATTAAGGCCAAGAATCATACAATTATCGAGGTGTTCATATCTGGCGATCGTGAGCGCGATTTCCAAACATTAATGTCGTCAATGCCCCACCAATGCTGTGCAAGGTACGATGATGCAATTAAACCGCAGGACTTTTACAAGGAAAAGAGCGAACGGCCGTCCAAGCAAGACATCACAGTTTTTGCTCATGCCTGTGTAAACCATGCATTGGCCCTCGCATTGATTTCGTGACGTTATGCTGACAGGATGGTTGCCCGTCGCGTAATGAATGTCTTTGAGACACTGGGTGCGTGGGTATCTGCGGAATTGTTCGCGAATAGTCGTACAGCTTGGAACATTTTCTGGCATGCCAATTTACACAGTTCCCGAAGTTTCTTGGAAAAGTACGTCAGATCATTGACAAATAACTTCCGGCTGGGGTTCGTTGAAGTGAACCCTGGTTCAAAGTTACATCTACAAGAAATGTTTCTCAACGTGGTTAGTTCTGGTTTTCATAGTTTTTCTACGTTGCGGTTTTACTGGTCTGCTTACTGGTACGCTTACGTGGTCTGCAAACGATATTTTAAAGTCTCCCCTATGTCACAGACCTGGATGGAATTTAGTTCTGAATCTTGGTAAAATATGCATGTAATGGAATCACGTCTCGTATATATATATATATATATATATATATATATATATATATATATACATATACAGATAGGCATGTGTGGGAGGGGGGTGCATACCTTTGCCCTGAAAGTGAGGTTCTCACCAGTTAATGACATTCTTTCACCTTGTAAGGTTATTTCACGCCACCAATCTAAATTGTGCTTTGGATACAATCTTTTGCATCAGAGAGAATCTCGAACATTCCAAAGCATTCAACTTTGAAATCAAGGTCATGGAAAACCAACGGCCTGATAGTTGATCCTAGCGGTAAACTGACACGATATTTTATAATGTAAAAGGTGATAAATCAATGTACACAGAGAGTGAATATGATGAAAAATGCAATGAACATAGCATTTTAGTTAAACACACATTTAAAATGCCTGCGGATTCCGTCATCACCAGCACCTTATGAGGCATAATTCAAGTATTGTGGGCCTAATATGTCTTCCATCACAGCATCACATGCAAACATGACCTCACTTAATACTGTATCAAACTGCAAGATTTCCTTAGCTTCGTCTGTAATCGTAGTGTGATGGTCCGTCTACTGCCCCATACCTTTAGACTAACAAGTAGACTGATTTTAGGGCTACCCGCCGCGCGGAATATGTGCCACAGGCTATCAGTTCGACAGATATCAGAATAATACGGAACCGAGTGAGATGCGGCCTCTGTTCTTTGCTTTCACAGTACGCTGAGCGCCTCATTTGGTGTCATGAGGGATACCTGCTCCGTGGTGGCCATCAACAGGATGAGATCAACGCCGCGTTTATACATTAAGGAATAGTGTTGTTGGCCTACCTCGGCATGACTCGTGCTAAGCCTTTCTGTTGCGGACTGCAACACCTTCTGAATCCTCTGGCAAGCAAAGGTATTTTTGATATTTTATTCACGCTTGGCATTAGATCACGTTTGTGATTAGCCATTGGATACGTGCTTTTTCCCACTGTTTGAGATGAACAAGACAGTAACCAGGGGCGAACGCAAATTTGCGACGGGGAAGGCGGGCACAACCAAAAAATATTGGCCCAAAATTCATTTAGGTGTGCAGGAGCCGCGCAAAATTTCTTGCCGGCAAGAAAAGTACGAACGAAAGTTGTTTGGAACAATGCATGACATCCATCAACATCTTGTGTTTCGATCAGTATAGTTTTACGTGTCTACATGCAGTTTCTAATTGCCAACATTTTTTCACACACAAACTAATGCATGCAATGAATTTGATACGGGGTGGAAAGGGCACGTGACCCTGGTGCCACCGCGATTACGCTAGCAATGCCTTGATATAATGTAGTAATGCTCCGGGAGTGATGCCTTTTTAAAAAGCACGAAGCTGCTAGCCCAAGTAAGAATGATCGCTTACCGGGACATAGAGGATGTTATCACGCAAGCCATATATTGCTTGACATCACTCTACAATTCATAGTGTTGCGAACGGCCACGGAGGTTATGTTGACCGATTTTACTGAGATGCACAGATTTCCACGCAGAACAAAAAAACCGTTTGTGACTTGGGTCCTGAAAATATGTGCGTAAATAGCCGAGTATAAAGCGAAACACTAAGTCGCATTCCCTTCATTCCTCCGGGCCAATTGTGGCCAAAGAGTTCCTGGGATGGTCATTGGCTGTCGGGTGGCAAGCCACCGGGATCTGCGTGTGTTTTGCACATGTGCGGTACGCTGAAGAAGTCTTCTTGACCCTTGAGATGCTTTGAGAAGCAGCTACCCGGAAGTGCAGGCATTGATAGCGAAGAGCAGGCACGTACTGCTCACAGCCTCCCCCCCCCCCCCCCCCTGCAGACGCGCGCTTCCGGCGCGGGCACGCCGACACTCGGCTGACGTCACATCTCTGACAGCGCTGGCCGAACCCTCGCCTGACCGGACACCGAGCGGGCCGGACGTCGCCCGGCTCCGCGCGGCGGCCGCTCCTAATGACACGGTGCGCCGCGTCGTTCCCGCAGGGCGCCGTCGCCGCTGGCGGCGACTGTCCGGCCGGCTTTGATGCAACATCGGACTGCAGCTGCTCCGACCTCACGCGCCGTCCAGCGGCGCTCGACGAGCACGCCCCTCGCCAGCAACAAGCGGCACGGACGCTCACATTTTTCGGCCAGCTCGCTAATCTGCCGTGCCGGCTGTCATAACAGCGCTCTCGCTAGGCCACTCTCTCATTTGATATTCATAAGCCAATTTGAACCAGTCATATTGGCGGCGGCGGCCGAGTCGCCGGCGCCGCTCGCTGCTCAAAAGGCGGACAACATTCGGCCTGGCAGTTTCCGATGAGATGTTGTTTAGCGGAGCCCGACTCGGCGCTCGTCTGTTTGATGATGCTCCCAAATCGATGAAAAAGTCCAAAGCAGCGCAGACCGGTTGAGGAAATTTGTGTCGGGCCCCAGCGTGTGTCTAGAAATGGCGGCGCGCGAGTGAAATGGCCGGATGCCAGCCATAAACTGGCGTCTGGCATCAGTTAACTACCACAAACAAAAACTACCAGCAGATATGAACAATCGACTATTCACTCGGTGTGGCATGTCTAATGTGCATTCATTTGGCGTACTGCACCTAGCTTAGCCTTGTACGTCCCCTATAACAGTATTTATAGGTGTTAGTGCGTATAAAGTACGTGGTATACACATCTATGGTACATGTGTACATGCTGTATTTATAGAACTACATCATGATCTACCGCCGTGAGTGCCCCTGAACGTAAATGCGAAGGCTATGGCGCTACAGATAATTCATGGTGCATGACCTACGAAAGATAAGTTTTTCAGAATTGCGAAGAATATGTCAAAGTGCAACGCTCAAGTACTGAAAGCTTCAGTGCCATGCGTTCCATAATTATTCACTCACTCTGCTGCCATTTCATACAGGACCAAATGTGCGCCGACGTGTTTTTATATAGTCTGCCTGTCCTTATGTGTGAGCATTTGGACAAGCAGAGCATACACGGATGGACCAATCGTCGCTAAACCTTCATCGTCGGATTCGACGCGATGGCAGACAGTTAGCAGTGCCGGTTTCGAGCCGATTGACGCCTATTGACACGGGCCACGCGCCGGCCCTCAGAGATATACAAAATTGAACTGTCACAAGTGCGGGTCAAATGGACGGCCGCACGGGCGCACCCGTCGGCGAGAATAGGACCGCAGACGCGATCTACGATCGTGTTAGCGTCCGGCCCGCCTGCGCGGGCGCGAGCCTTCGCCAGGTACGTGTGTGGACCGGGACGCCTCCGGGTCTTCGACGCTCCTGAACGCATCGATACAGTTGCTTGGCCGTGTGCGGTTATCGTCAGAGTCACGAGTGAATTCGAGAGGGAGCGAGTCGAGAGGCTCAGCTCAACATCAGACCTACCCCCCCCCCTTCCGCGCCATAATGCACGTGTGAGTCCAGCCTCAAAGTCAGGAGCATAGTCGAGAGCAAGGGAATCGAGAAGATCAGCTCAACATCAGACCTACCCCACCCCCTCCCTTCCGCGCCATAATGCACGTGTGAGGCCAGCCTCAAAGTCAGGAGCAAAGTCGAGAGCAAGGGAATCGAGAAGATCAGCTCAACATCAGACCTACCCCCCCCCCCCCCCCTCCCTTCCTCGCCAT